GAATTTATATGTTTTAGAAGCAACCAATTTAACAAAATACCTCAGCCCAGGGAACACACATGCACCTCACAGTTCATTAACACACACTGTCCAGAGTGGCAACTGGCTTTTAATCTATCCTTGTATATTGATGAAAGGGGAAAACACTAAGTGTGTCTCTTGCCAAAACTGTTGTTGCTCCCACTATGTTCACAGTCTGAGATACTCGAGGTTACAGTTCAGTTTGTAATGCATTTCTCATTTTGAAGTTTCCTTGATAACTTCAATCATGACATTCCAGGGTTCCTTGCCCGACAGCCTCTGAACTTGCATTCACTGTCATCTTTTGGCTGTTTTAAAAAAGACAGCACATGGTGTAATTAAAAGTTTAATACGTCCATTGGTAATCCAAGGATGTGAGTCACAGTCATGACACAACATATCACAAAAGAGTATACTGCCTCTCTGTAGTCATGGTCCAAGACATCACCAAGTAGTTGATCAAATGTAAAAGCTTTAAGCGTTGAATCATAACTCTGCTACACATCTGGGAGTGATGTAATCGGTAGTTCAAGCACATGCTGAGAATGCTCTTAAATCACATTCACTCATGACCAGGTCCAGCTGGTGTTAAAGCCCTGATCTTGGATGCACCCATAACTATCTGCAATATGATTTGCTCTGAAAGAAAATTTTAATTGTACAAAGCTCATTGTAGCAGAAAAGATCAAGTAGTCTCTGTTCTCATTCATATTTTCTAGGTCATGATGCTCGAGATAGGAGCCTATCAATGACTTATGATCTGCAGTCATTCTTGTGATCAAATCTCCCAGGAGGCAATGATATGAAAAGAAGCAGACACAAAGTATGCATTCTGAAACATTTGTAGAGGGTTCAACCTCACCCTTCAGATTATATCCCTGTGCTATTGTCAATAGTATTGGTTATGACTGCAGTATAAAAGGCAATATTGTTTGCTGGACAAGGATCTACAGTCATGGTTTGAGCAAGTTTCAATCCCCAGCCATGAGAAACAGCACAGCCATTGAATTTGGGGAGAGAAGCATGTATGATGTCAGTCATCATTTCATCCTGCAGACTCACCGCTGCAGTGTCCAGGCATCAAGCCACGTGAAAGCTTTTGCACTGTCCTGCCCTCTTCCAAACACACAGACCATTTCTCTCCCGCATTTGCTACCAACAAGTTCACCAGTGAGACTATCAACAACAAACATTTGACATAACTGAGCCTACGATTGGAGGAGCATTCCTTGTAATACCTTACTGTTACACTTACATGTTTTTGAACAGCTCTTGGCAGGCCAGAAAAGGACCCTGCTGTGGGCCACATCATGGCCTGCAGACTACCCTCTTGGATAAGCCAGAGATTAAATATCCAGAAAGCTTCCTGCTCCCCTTCAATCATCCAACCAGCAACAGTCCTTGGTGACTGTGTTACCAAAAGACACTTACCTTCAACAATGCAGCACACTCTCAATGCTGCATTAAAATGGTAGTGTAGATTGTGTTCAATTTCATAGCAGGCTTTGAATCCACATCCTTCAGACTTGGGTGAAAATGCTATCAGTGGAGCCAAGCTGACAACTTAAGTACTGCATTGTAGGAGTATCTACAACTCGAATTCCCATCAATTGGTAATAAAAACCTAAGCAAAATAGATCTCAAATGAGATAGTAGGAACTGCTGATGCTGGAGTCTGAGATAACAAGGTGTGGAGCTGGAGGAATACAGCAGGCCAGACAGCATCAGAGGAGCAGGAAAGCTGACATTTTGGGCTGGGACCCTTCTTCAGAAATGGGGGAGGGGAAGGGGGCTCTGAAATAAATAGAAAGGGGTGGGGGGGTGGTGATAGAAGGTGGATAGTGGAGCAGATAGGTGGGAGAGAAGATGAACGGGTCAAAGAGATGGGGATGAAGCTAGTAAAGGTGAGTGTACGTAGGAAGTTGGGATGGGGTGGATCAGTGACGAGGAAGGGGCAGATAGATGGGAGGGAAGACGGACAGGTCAAGGAGGCGGGGCTGGGGGGGTGCTGGTCTTGGGTTGAGGTCAGGAGTGGGGAGATTTTGAAGCTCGTAAAGTCCACATTGAGACCATTGGATTGATGGGTTCCAAGGCGGAATATGAGGTGCTGTACCTCCAGTTTCCGGGTGGCATCGTTGTGACACTGGAGGAGGCCCAGGATGGGCATGTCGTCCAGGGAGTGGGAGGGGGAGTTGAAGTAGTTTGCGACTGGAAGATGTTGTCGTTTGTCGCGAACCGAGCGTAGGTGCTCCACAAAGCGGTCTCCGAGTCTCCGCTTGGTCTCCCCGACGTACAGGAGGCCACGTCGGGAACAGTGGATACCAATTGGACTGTATCGGTGCCGCCTCGTTCTCCCACGAGGAGCTCAAACAGTTCATCAGCTTTACTAACACCTTCCACCCCAACCTCAAGTTCACCTGGACCATCTCTGATACCTCTCTCTCCTTCATAGAATCCCTAGTGTGGAAACAGGCCCTTCAGCCCAATAAATCCACACCGACCCACACAGCATCCCACCCAGTCCCGTTCCCCTAATAACTCACCTAATCTGCACACCACTGAACACTACAGGCAATTTAGCACGGCCAATCCACCTAACCTGCACATCTTTGGACTGTGGGAGGAAACCGGAGCACCCAGAGGAAACCCACGCAGACATGGGGAGAATGTGTAAACTCCACACAGTTGCCTTAGGAGTGGAATTGGACAGATGTCAGAGGTAGGTTCTTTACTCAGAGAGTAGTAAGGGCGTGGAATGCCCTGCCTGCAAAAATAGTAGACTCGCCCACTTTAAGGGCATTTAAATGGTCATTGGATAAACATATGGATGATAACGGAATAGTTTAGTTTAGATGGGCTTCAGATTGGTTTCACAGGTCGGCGCAACATCGTGGGCCGAAGGGCCTGTACTGCGCTGTAATGTTCTATGTTCTATGGGCCGCTAACCACTGAGCCACCATGCTGCCTCTGGCCCTCTCTGTCTCCATCTCTGGTAACCACCTTGAAACTGATATCTATTTCAAGCCCACCGACTCCCACAGCTACCTAGACTACACCTCCTCTCACCCACCTTCCCTATTCCCAATTCCTCCGCCTCTGCCGCATCTGCTCCCAAGATGAGGCGTTCCACTCCCGCACATCCCAGATGTCCTCGTTTGTCAAGAATCACAATTTCATGATCCCTAAGTGGTCGAAAATGTCCTCAACTGCATCTCTTGCGTTTCCCACACCTCAGCCCTCACACAACCACCCCGCAATAAAAACAAAGACAGAACTCCCCTTGTCCTCTCGTATCACCCCATTAAGCTCCGGATTCAACGCATCATTCTCCACCACTTCTGCCACCTGCAATCTGACCCCATTACGAAGGATATATTTCCTTCCCCACCCTTATCTGCCTTCCGGAGGGACCACTCTCTCCGTGACTCCCTCGTCTGCTCCACACTCCCCACTAGCCCCACCACCTCTGGCACTTTTCCCTGCAACCGCAGGAAGTGCTACACCTGCCCCTGGACCTCCCCCCTCACCTCCATTCCAGGCCCAAAAAACCTTCTACATTAAACAGATATTCATCTGCACATCCGCTAATGTGTTCTACTGTATCCGCTGTTCCCAATGTCGCCTCCTCTACATCGGGGAGACCAAGCGGAGGCTCGGAGACTGCTTTTTTGAGCACTTATGCTCGGTTCGCGACAAACAACACCTCCCAGTCGCGAACCACTTCAACTCCCCATCCCACTTCCTGGATGACATGTCCATCCTGGGCCTCCTCCAGTGTCACAACGATGCCACCCAGAAACTGGAGGAACAACAGCCTTGGAACCCTACAATCCAATGATCTCAATGTGGACTTCACTAGCTTCAAAATCTCCCCACCCCCGACCTCATCCCAAGACCAGCACCCGCCTCTCTTCCCCGCCTCCTTGACCCTGTCCATCTTTTCTCCCACCTATCCGCCTCTGCCTCCTCACTGAGATCTCAAATGATGTTAGTGTGTATATAAATCATAAATATGGAATTCAATTCAACAGAACTTGCACCTAAAAATAGCACCAATGTGCTAGTACATTCGTGAAACCAATGGCAAAGGCACAGTTAAAAAGTTTACCTCAAAGTTGAAAAAGACTTAAGTAAATAAAACTTGTGCACATTTCTGATGAGATCATCGATCCAAAATGTCAAATCTCCCCAACACAGATGTTGTCTGCCCTCAAGAGTTTTTTCTGTACTCTCTGTTCAGATTTCCAACAATTGTAGTGTTTTGTTTTTGCATTAGACCTAGCAAATAGAAAGTCATCTGACTGGAAGTACAACATCTTAAATAGACAGTGTCCAACTTTATATTTGCTGAATCTCATCTCCTCTGCAATATTAAAAGGATCTCAGTACGTACAGTGGCTGAAGTTCAAATGCAATTGTTCCCTGCAACAGCCTAGTAGCATACAGTCAGTTTTACTGTCCACTTATGGCAATCCCTGAAGGAGATGTCAGATCTGTTACTTGTCGCAGATTCAACCCCATCAATAATTGCTATTATTTGGAAAGGATTGTATATAACTCCATCCACTGGCAAAAAGTAGATTCTGTACTTACAAAAGTAGATAAACCAGAATAGAATTTGATGGATTTTCTGAGAAAAGATAAAACAGCAAACCTTGGGATGTCAGAGATAGCAAGAACTGCAGATGTTGGAGTCAGGGATAACACAGTGTGGAGCTGGAGGAACACAGCAGGCCAGGCAGCATCAGAGGAGCAGGAAAGTTGACGTCGTGTATCGGGGCTCTTCAGAAATGATGGGGATGTATCCTAACCCTCAATCAACTACATTGCAAATCTTTCATAAGATTAGTTGTCTACAATGTAGTTCAGAAAAAAAGCAATAAAACAGCACTTGTCTGAAGGTTCAACATTCAGTGCTTATTAATCTGCAAGACAAGCCATACAATTTGAAAGATTCACAAATTTTAGAAACACCTGAATGAACAACTGACCCACACATTTTAATATTTACATTTTATGCAAAACATGTAAAGATTTAAACCAGTATTTTCAGCGAAGCTACAACATGCCAAAATAAGGACTGTCGTTAATTTGAAGACTGCACAACATATAAAACAGAAAATGGCAGTCTATAGTTACTGTACAATGCTAGAAACAGTCTTGAAAACATAGTAAAATATCTGGTACTTGAACTTAATTCAGAAACTTTTTTTTTAAAATCAGGATAGAGGTTGAATATGAAAAACATAGTAAATAGAACAGATGCAGCCCATACAGCCATTAGTTAAGCAAATTTCTGTGCTAACCTTGCAATACTACTTTAGTAAGGAGCATTAAATCACAATAGCACAGTATATACCAAATGTTTTTTTAAAAAACATCTAATCCGTAGTATCTTAGCATTCCACATCTGTCCACAATAATTGTTCATTATAAAACTGAACATTAGAAATGCAGAAATTCTATGTACATTCTCATATAGAAAAGATGGAATTTCAAAAGGTGCAGAGAAATTTAGCACTCAGACAAGGTCAGTACTACACGCAAAAATCAAATGAAGGAGAATCAAAGATTACTAAGCACTTTACATATCTTACAGAAACAATTAGATTCTGCAGAAACCATATGCCAATGAAACCCTCAGGGCAGTAAATTTGGCTCTTCTGCACATTTAACGAGGTTAGAAGTTGAACACTTTTGATTTCAATCATGTTGCCACATCCCTGCAGTAAATTACATTTTCCCAGGTTATTTCAATGTGATTCTTCATAATTGTACATAAAATGAGATACTGCAGTTGAAGGTTGAGCCGACCAAAATAAGCATACCTGTTGCCCACTTTTGATTTTTAAGGCAGCTTTTCATGAAACCAGTTAAGCAGTAAATGTGAACTAGTATGAAATGACAACATTGCAGCAAACATAAACATTAGTTACAAGATGCACAAGATCTAGTTGGTATCAAAAAGTCTTGTTAATGTTTATTTTTTTCCATTTATCCAACTGATGGTTGCTATTCCTTCAGAATGTGTCACAGAACAGTTGGCTTTTCATAGTTATTTGCAAAACCTATGAAAATTTTCACAAGAAGAAAATGAAAATTTACCTGAGGCAATACAAATATTAGTATTAATTTTAAAGTTAATTACAACATTATTAGCATTAGCAACATAGTGTATTTGTTTTTTCTTTGCAAAAGAAGGAAGGTTCAAGATAAATTGAAAGGAATTACAAGCATAGGAGGAAGCTTTTGGCCAGAGTTTAATATTTATATTTATTTTTTTCATTGTGTCCCCTCACTCAGTTGAAAGGAAATAGCATGAACTTTTCTTCATAATCAGTCTCAGATGCCCTCTACTGGAGAAACAAAAATAAGCTGGAACAGAAATTGCTTATTTATCGAATTCAATTTAAATGAAACAGCCTCAATAGGTGAAATTCTTCACGTTCACAAAACAAGCTAACATTCGATGACTTCCTTTTTTAAACTAATCTCTTTAAATGTAAAGCAATATTCCAGAGAATAATCTTAAATTGAGAGTTCTCAGCATCTGAAAAATTCAATCTCAAAAGAAATCTTTGTAACCAAACTTGTGCTTCAATGTGATGAAAGATGACAAGAACACTGATAATATGAAAAGGAATCCAACATCCCGGACAACATCGCTGTGCTGGGTGGTCCACTGAAATAACTTCTGACTAGCTATACCACTCTCCCATTAAATGGTTTTCTCATTTTCCTCACCAATACAGGGAGATGATTTATGATCATGTTAAATATGCAACTTATGCAGGCAAACAAGTTTAATCTTCCTTATCCCCAGAATAAAAATGTGCAGATACAGGAACAAATTAAATATACTATTGCCTCTCCTGATATATTTGTTTCGTATTGAGGTAGTCAAGTTTGTTGGCTGGAATAAGTGGCTTCTATTTCCTTCTATTCCAATCAATGTATAGGCATTCCCAAATGCTTGCTTTCTACGAAGGCTAATTTCACTACACTGAACAGTAAAACATGGATACAAAAGTCAATTATTTTGAGATAAGATTTTCGAGCAGCAAAATTAAATCCAGCTTTTACATCTAATAATCCATTTTCAAGTAATGTTTAGTAAAGCTGTACTACTTCAATTTCAAACTTTAGTTGTTTAGTAACTTTAATATTTTCGTTTAGGAACCGATGGTAATTGAAGTCTTACTAAGGGAGCATTACAGTTGCTATTTTATTTACAATACCCATAAAATTCTCGCAAATTGTCGTCAAAATGTTGTGAAACTGTTTAAAAAAATCAAGAAAGAAGTATTGCGCACAAGAAGAAGTTTACATATATCAAAAAGATTCCTTCCACCCCCATCCAAAAATAAAGGGTGGAAGGCAAAAAATGCAAAAAGGAAGACTGTTTATACTGAGTATTCATCAACACAACTCAAGTTCAACTTCAGATAAGAAAGCCTCAATGAGCTCTTGTCAACCCAGGACAACAAAAGCTTAATGAGGCTTCACAACCAATGACAACAAATCTCTCATATCTATTAGGAAGTGATGAGAGGGGGCAAGAAGGAAAAAAAAAAGATGATTGGGCAGGGAGAAGCCAAGGGAGAAAGAAGTTCACGCCTTGGCCATATCCTGATACCTTCCAGGCCTTTGATACTTCAAGAATTTACTGACAAACACAGTTGGAGTTTCTCTTTTTCTCCACTTTGCTCCAAAATTTGAAACTCTGCAGGCACAACCAGACCATCTCAAGGACAGAAGTAACAAAAACACCAGACAACAAACTCAGGTGTGCCACTATCACAATTAAACATGAATGAGGATCAAACACAATACTATACCTAGGCATTAAGTAGTCATGCACGCACAAAGTTCCCACCTTATTAATTTTCAAAAAAAAAATCCAGTGTTTGAGAAAGAACTCGCATTCAGAAAGAAGTGTTGATCATTCACCATGTCCAAGCTGACAACAGATGGCACAAGACCTCACCTTCATACTTTTGATTGACTGAATGTACCTAGATAATTAGCAAGTCCACATAAATGAGTGTTGTTTGAGGAAAAAAAACAAGCACAGAAGTTGGTTATTTGGCCAATTGAGACTGTGCTAGTTCTCTGAAAGAACTATTCATATACTTTGCAGGCACAATTACCAGCTCACCATTATCAAATGAAATGGTACGATAGAGAAAATAGTGTACATTTATAATGCTTGATGAAAATATTCTGATGTTTGAGATATAAATTAGTGTTTTTTTAAAAATAAAAGCTTCATTGAAGCACAACTCCAAAGTTCAAAGTTTCTACACCACCTCATAATTGAGGCTTGTATGGGCTTTAAAGGTTTACGTCTAAAGTGGTGTTAATTCATTGGAAAATGCAAGTAGATGTAGGCTAGCCTGTGTCTGATGACGAAAGGATGTTTAAAAAGTTTAATGAAATGTATAAGAAGTTAAAGATAAACTGGAGTTTACGGATTGCTTGAATGCACATGTTGACCTCCTTCCCCTTTCGTATCCTGACATAGTTGCAATTAAGCAGAAGATTTCAAAATATTTCATGCCATATCTACATTTCTTACATTACATTGAATGAAGCTACAAGAATTTTTAAGCCTTGCATAAGTTTCACAAGTTAAAATTTATAAATGCAAAAAGAACATTTTGTTTACAAAACACACATGGGTTCAAGACGATATAAATTTCATGCATAAAAAAGATTGAAGATAATCTGCATTGCTCATCTACATCCACTGTGCTTCTCAGTTAATTCTTGTAGCTGAATTCCAAGCTTCAAGGCCATTTGATGCACAAAGACAAATGCAGCACAGGGGCTAAAGAGAATTGGTTCCTATTGAAATAGAGCAGGATTATTCATCTGTGGTACACTTCTCTATCATTTCTTGGCAGAAATCAGTCATTACAGCCTGGCAGCACTGTTCTATCCCAGACTGGCTTGCTGGAATACTTTCTCGTGTACTGTTGGGTGCATCCGTTATTTTCTCTTGAAGTTGTACAGTAGGACTTTGCTCACTATTACAGTCCATACTCTGAGGATTAGTGGAGTACCCCGGATATGATGAAATCAGATTTGTACGAGTAATGGAGCCAACGTTTCTTTGGGTGTTCAGTATTGAAAGAGGGCACTCAGGCGAGGAATATTTCGCTAGTGTTTGAATTTGTTCAGCAGTCAGGGCTGCATCTTTACACACCTGCTTGCAAAGGATAGATAAATTATCCCAGGTTTCACCCATACACACTTTTAACTGGCCCTTCTCTTGCAGTAACTTCTCCTTCTCACATAACTAGAGGTAGTCAGAGGAGGCGGCGTGGGAAGGGGAGGAGAGAAAAAAATGCAGCTTTAATAAAGGCATTCATAAGTACATACATGCGCACACAAACACACATACAAAATTTCAATTGCTTAAACATTTTCTGATAATTTCTGAAAAGAGACACGTTGTTGAAACTTTTTGTCATGCATTCATCAAGACAAATGCAAGAGTGCCAAATTTCAAACTATATCAACAATTTATACTGAAGAGAAAGGTGCTGACTGATTAACAATTCAACTCTGATTGGTCAAAGTATTAACATTGAGAAAGCAACATGGAATTATAGGGCTCCCAAGTTCCAGGGCAATTTAAAAAATGTGCACAGTTTGAACATTTTCCTTTTGTTTGCAGAGACGGGGTTCCTGTATATAAAAGTATGCTGCTTCTGGAAAGCAGAAATGAGCCAGGTTATGAGTTTGACTGACGACGTTAAATTGTTTGTTATTATTGCTATTCGCACGCTTCAGATTGCTCGATAAGTGCTGGTCTATTGTAGTCTAAATTGCAGACAGATCAACTGAAATTTGGCAATCTTGCAGTTGTCTTGACTGCAAGACCCAAGGCTTTGGCAACATGTTTCTTTTTTTCAGAAAGATCTAAATTTTATTTACCAAGTGAAAGCTTAACATATTTTGCTGTCAGTACAGGATTTAAACCACAAATGTATGATAGATAGTACTGGTACAGAAAGATTTCTTTTTATGAAATAGCATGCAGGATAATATCAGAAATTGCTGGAAAGGCTCAGCAGGTCTGGCAGCACCTATGGAGAGAAAGCAGAGTTAAGGTTTCTCAAGAAGAGTCACTGGACCCAAAACATTAACTCGGTTTTCTCTCCACAGATGCTGCCAGGCCTGCTGAGTTTTTCCAGAATTTCTGTTTTGTTTCAGATTTTGAGCATCCACAGTTTGTTAATTTTTTTTTTGCAGGATATCACATGTGCAACTGTAAAATGATGGCAATAAGACTATTCTATTTAGGAAGAACAACACCCGTAGACCTTTCTTTATATTCAACCCACCAGCTTATGTATTTCACATTCCAGGTTTTGAATGCAGTCAAGTTTTCGCTTTCGACAGCGTTGAGCTGCAATTCTGTTTTTGCTGCGGCGACGTATATCATGGATATAATCCAGCTGTTCTGGATTCAGTTTATGGAGTTTCAGCATCGTTTGAAAGTCGTTTCTAGACAACATTGTAATTCTCTCAACAGGAAATGGTAGTTTTACCTAGAAGGGGCCCAAATGCAAAAAATTAGATTCACAAAAATCATATAAATTTCATGATAAATTCTAGGTACATCAAAAATTAGACCATTGTTCTTCTACCAATTCTATCAGCTGAAGGAATTTTCCATTCTTTTTATTCAATTAAATTAATTTTCTGAAATCAGAGTTTACAACTTTCATGAACAGCCAAGTTTCACAAACTACTGTGCAAACCAATCAAAAAAGTAGGCAACATAAGAAATTTACATGTGATAAATGTTTCTCAAGTTATACACTAACAATTTTTTTTTTTTTAAAAAGTACACTTACCTCAAGTTTTACTATAAAATCTTTGGTAATTAACCTAGCCTTTCATATGGGTATGTATCTCTAGTGAATACTTTTTCATGATTCTCAAAGGATATTAAAATTGGGAAGTAACTTAAGGGATTGAAATATATTGTTCATGATCTATAGCAATTTCAGTGTAAAATAAGTAACCAAAACAATAAATTACGGAGAATGCTGGAAATCTGAAAAGTATGAAACTGCCAGAATACAATTAGTCAGGCAGGGTCTGTGGAGAGAAAGAGAGTGATAATAACTGATTGGTTGGAACAGGAAAACATTCAAGGTGTACCAGATTTTAAATGAGTGAGTGAGTGAGTGATAGATAAAAAGGGAGAATGTGGTGAGGAAAATATATATGTGTGAGATTTCTGCTAGTGACTCATTTGGCAAAATGCACTGGTTTTGCTGAGGTGATGGTACTCAGATGTTTCTGCACACATTTATTAGTCTAAGACTGATTAGAAAATCTTCCATTTCTCAGCTCAGGTACATGAGTAAATCTGGGCAGTCTCCAGCATCCCAGAGAAAGTGAATTACCAGGAAATTAATCATTGTTTTGAGACTATTCTAATGCTCTTGAACTTATAAACTGGATTCAGTTAACTGTTGGTCACTGCTCCTTTTCTAACTACAGATGCATGTCCTGCTCTGCTGTATTATAGTTTAAATTAACTGTGATCAGAGACTTTGCGTAACAGGTAGTCAACTGACTAAATTTAAACCAATTTAAAACTGAATTCAAACTGCTTTTTTCCATTTATTAATGCTTGGCCAGCATTTAATCGCCTATTCCCCTAGTCTCCCTGGAGAAAGTGCTGATGACCTGTCTTCATGAACCGCCGAATCCATTTGGTGAAGGTTGACCTATGATGTTGGGAAAGGAATTCCAGGATTTTGATCCTTTTCACTGAAGGAATGGTGATATATTTTCAAATCAGGATGGTGAGTGAGTTGGACGAGAACTTGGTGGTGGTGGTGTTCCCATCCTTGTGCTTGTCTTTTTGATAGTACACACTCCTGCTACAGAGCACCAGTGGTACACAGAACTAATGCTTGTGGATGTGGCATCAATCAAACATGCTGCTTTGTCCTGATGGTATTAAGCTTCTTACATGTTATTGAAGCTACTGAAGTGAGTTTTCCATCATTCTTGTGATTTGTGCCTGGTAGATAGTGGATAGGATTTGGGGACTTGGGAGGCAAGTTGCTCACTGTGGAATCCCGAGTTTCTGTACATGCATTTGTAGACACAGCATTTATATAGCTATTCAAGTTCAGTTTCTGGTCAACACAAACTCCCATGACATTGATAATGGGGGAATCATTGATGAAAGTACCACAAAACGTTAAAGAACAACTGGAGACAGTCTCTGCCTGGCATTTGTGTCACGTAAATGTTACTTACTACTTCTCAGCCCAAAACTTTTTACTGTCCAGGCCTTGCTGCATTTGGACATGGACCGTTTCAGTACCTGAGGAGTTGTGAATGGTGCTGAACATTATGCAATCATCAGTGAACATCCTCACTTCTGACATTATGATGGAGGGAAGGTCGTTGATCAAGCAGCTGAAGATGGTTGGGCCTAGGACACTAGTCTGAGGAACTCCTGCGAAGGTATCAGGCAGCTGAGATGTCTGACTTCCTAAAACTACAACCATCTTCCTTTGTGCTAGGTATGCTTCCAATCAGATTTCTTTTCCCTTCAATTCCCATTGACTCCAGTTTTGCTAAGTCTCCTTGGTGCCATATTTGGTCAAATGTGACCTTGATCTCAAAGGCAGTCACTCTCACCTCAACTCAGGAATTCAGCTCTTTTCATAGAAATCATAGAATCCCTACAGTGTGGAAACAGGCCCTTCAGCCCAACAAGTCCACACCGACCCTCAGAGCATCCCCCATTAACCTACCTAATCTAGGCATCCCTGAACATTACGGGCAATTTAGCATGGCCAATCCACCTAACCTGCACACCTTTGGACTGTGGGAGGAAACCAGAGCACCCGGAGGAAACCCACGCAGACACAGGGAGAATGTGCAAACTCCGCACAAACAGTCGCCCGAGGGTGGAATTGAACCCAGGTCCCTGGCGCTGTGAGGCAGCAGTGCTAACCACTGAGCCACCATGCTGCCCTCACTTTTAGGTAAGTTTGGTGCTGCTCCTGGCATGCCCTCCTGCACTCTTTACTGCACCACAGTTGATCACCTGGCTTAACGGTAATGGTAGAGCCATGAGGGTGCAGATTGTCTTGGAGTACAATTCTGCTGCAGTTTATGGTCATGGACCTCATGAATGTTCAGACTGGAGTTGGTAGATCTGTTCAAAGTCATTTAGTACAGTGATCATGTCACACAACTCAACAGAGGGTACCCTCAACATGAAGGTGGACTTCATCTTCACAAGGACTGAGCGGCAGTGGCCCTTACTGATATTGTCATGGACAGTTGCATCTGTAGTAGGCAGATTGGTCTGGATGACTACAAATTTGTTTTGCCTTCATTGGGTGTCATACCACTGGCCATAAACCCAGACTAGCAGCTGACCACTTTTGGACTCAACCAAGTTAGCCAACAGTGGTGCTGCCAAACATTCTTGATGGTAGACATCAAAATCCCCCATTCAGAGTTCATTCTTTTCCCTCGATATCTTCAATGCTTTTCCTCCAAGTGATGTTCACCATGGAGAAGTAATAGCTCATCGGCTGGATGGGTGCGGGGGTGGCTGGTGGGTGGTGGAGAAGAAGTGGTGGTCACTATATGCTAATCAGTAGGTAGTTTCCTTGCCCATGTCAGACTTGACACGGAGTCTTCATGGGATAAGACCATATGAACTGGGAACAGGTGTAGGCCATTTACCTTCTCGATCCTGCGTGTCATTCAACAGGATCATGACTGATCTGACCTTCCTCATGTCCACTTTCCTGCCTCTTCCCCCAACCTTTGATTCCCCCACGATAAAGAATCTCTGCCTTAAATAACATAAGGACTCTGACCCCCATAGCTCTCTGTAGCAAGGACTTCCACAGACTCTCAACCCAGAAAGTCTTAAATTGGTGTCCCTTATTCTGAGACTATGCAGAGTCAATCACAAATATATATTACTGTACCACCACCCCTATTGGGTCCGTCTTGCTGGATAGTGTTGTCTTGTACATAATTCCATGAGTATGACTATGTCTTATATACACTATCAGACAGCTCTCCCAGTTTTGACTCCAAATTCCTAAAGTTAGCAAGGAAGACTTTGGCAAACACAACCCTTGCATTGTAGCTTCTGAAGCCTTACATGATACCAAGTAGCATCTGGCCTGGTCAATTAAGAATTAAGAGTCAACCATATTGCTGTAGATCTGAAGTCACATGTAGGCCAGATTAGATAAAGGAGGCAGTTTCCTTCCTTAAAAGGACAATGAACCAGATGGTTTTTTTTAGAATATATGACAGCCGACAATGGTTTTATAATTTGGATTTTTATTTCCAGATTTTTATTGAATTCAAATTCCACAGTCTAGGATTCAAACCCAGGTTCCAAGAACATAGCCTGAGTCTCTTCTTTACTATTCCACTGACAATACTACTGGACCACTTGCCTCCCTCCTTCAAACTAAGTTATTTTAATCAATCTGTTGATATCTCCCAGGCAGATCAGACTTGAAATTGGGCTTCCTGGCTCAGTGGTTGGGACAGTACCTCTGCACAACAAGAACCCTCCCCCTTTAAAGTATCATCTTTTCCACTGAAATAGTATATTTCACATTCATTGTACAATCATATATAAATTTTCTTACCTCACATTCTTGTTCCCGGGCAGAACATGACTCACTGTCATCCTCAGATTCAGACCCAAATTCATCTCCTGAGTTTGTAGTAAATGTGTCATATTTGTCTTGTTGCTGTCCCTGGTCACTTTCAAGCTCCTCAATACCTGAGCTGCTGGAACACACAGAATTTCCAGTATCATATGCAAATGGGCACTTCAAAGAGCTATAGGTAGACTCAGGTAGCTGTGAAGACGACGAGGTATAGTGCAGTAGGAAAGAACTTTGATTGCTTCCTTCAAGGGTTTGGCAAGGCTCTGTCGAAAACTGTGGGCACTGAGAAAATCTCTCCAAATCAAACTGCCCTGAGCAACTTTTCTCCTTAACCAAAGATTCAGCCTCACAGCTAGACTGTGCACCGCAAAGTTCACTCCAGAATCCTTTTGCTAAATGTTCTGCCACCTCCCTTTCCACAGTGCTTCGCCCGCTGGAGACCACATTGGGATTCTCTCGTCTTTGAGAATAACCTGAGCTAAAAATAACTGATTTTCTCTCAGAGTCTCCACTTGTTCTTTCTGAACACCTTGGCTGATCACATTCTTGACTAATTTCGAGCTTAGTTTCTTCAATACTTGCAAGAGGAGCACTGTTCTTTTGGAGATTTTCACCCTGCAACATTAAAGGGACAAATGGCTCTGCCCGAGAACAAGGTAAGTCAAAATGCTCTCCAACGCAACTTTGTTGAATACCTGAGATATTTTGTGATGATGGCCCTTGTGTTACTTCAGGGGTAGAATCTTGCACTAATGGATAGCTTGTATTCATTTGGTTCTTCACTTCGAAGTTCTCTTCATCACAGACTCCACCCTCTCCTTCCATTGATGTGCTGTCACTATCCTTTTCAATAAGTTTTGCACGTTCATCCTCTGACTCAAAAGGGAATGTCAAGCTTTGACAAGATTCAATTTGCTGTTTTGAAAGTATTTGCTGCAATGAAGAATTTGGCAATGACAAATTATTACCCCAGGATGTCAGTCGTTCTTTCCCACAGGCTAACTGAAACTTTCGGTACTTAGGACAAAGAGATGAACTAGCCCATCCAGTCTGTTTCAAACACGAGTACTTGACATCAGTGGTTTCATTTTGAACTTTTGGACAAATTTTCCCAACTTCAATGCATTTACGCAATTTAGGACAAGGACTCTTGGGATTTTCGGACTCGAGAAATTCTTCCACATCATCATCAGCTTCTGAATTTTCATTGTCACCAACAGGAATTTTTAGATTTGTTTTTTGACAATGAGATGTACAACATGCCTTTCTTGGAAATCCTGCATGATCTCTCTCCTTTCCAAAAAGTCTGGCTTGAAGAAAGTTGAAACACGTTTTTTCAATGTTATGGATGCCAAGAAATTCTACACTTCTACAGACATCCAACACATTTTCTTTGTTCAAAAGAAGTTTGGCAGTGTATGCGAACTGAAGAAGTGGTGCAAAACCTTTAACTGTAACCTGATAAAACAATAAAACAACCAGTTAAGAAATCTCGACTTCAGTATACAGGAGTTCCAGTTTAAAATAAAGCAAAAGATGGTATTTTCTTCAATGATTTTCTATTTATGCACTTGACATATTGTACAAGCCCAGTGACAATTCGTTATTACAAACTCATCTTACAGCAAGTCAAGTGGGCTTAAAAAGCTACTGTTAATTACATGAAACTGAAGTCGACCTGTGACCAATTAAACAATTTCCCAAAGTCTTCTGGAGCAAAACTTGTCTGGAACATAAATCAAAAGCAAATGATCTCATCTAAGGAAACATTTCAGATAAGAGACTGATTGTCATCAAAGCATCCACATCTTCCATGGTCAGGAGTTAAAACAGCACACTCTCTTTACCTTTCTGCTTCAAATAACATCAAATGGAATAGGATTTTTTGCATCTAGTCTGATTTTATACGAAGTTCAGCCCAGAAACTTTTGCCCTCAGTTCAATGTACTAAGTCTGCTCTCTTAGAGAAGCCCTCACTTCTAGAAACTAAAAGAAATGACTATACACAAGTAATATGGCAAACTGCACCTGGGTGAACAACAAAGCTTTTATTGTTAACAACAGCACATAGGAACCACAATATATTTCAGAAGACGAATCCGATCAGACACCTTTAAAACACCAATAGCATGGATTCCTTTACAAAGGACAGTTTATCAAAGCTGCAAACAATAAATGTAGATTGACATTAGTTCAAAAGCAGCAATTTAGAATGTATTTTTAAAACTCAACAAACTTTCTGTAGAAGGGTCCCAACCCGAAACGTCAACTTTCCTGCTCCTCTGATGCTGCCTGGCCTGCTGTGTTCCTCCAGCTCCACACTATGCTGTCTCAAAACAAAACTGCTAGCTATAAAATACTTCCCAGAAGAAAAGTGCAGTCTTATTAGACAGCACATAATCTATGCAGGAATTGTGAGTATGGGGGTCTTAATTTCGATCCTTACGCTTCACGGAAAACAAAGCCACAGTAAACAAGAGTAATAACTAATTTTTCTCAGTGTACTTTACTCGTAAATCTTTGTAAAATTACATTCCATAGCAGTTCAAATTGGAAGTTACCCAAATGTGAAGACAATTCAATTTCTTTCCATACAGCATCCGAGGTACTTCAAATACAACTGCCGTTACGTGATATTACAATACGCCTAGATAAAGAAATCACCAAAGGGGGTTTTATACAGTTTCCAATCCCTCAGGGCATTATGTAGGTTGAGCTTGGGATGTCTTTTTCCCACTGGGCAGGGTAATACTTTAGACTCCATTTGTCCTGGTCTCTGGGAGAAATGTACAATATACAGGAAATTCAACCCACTGGGATGCAATGTTGCTCAATATTCGACAAATGAACCAAAAGTACAACAATAATATCCTACGATCTGAACTCTATTTTCTTACATCTTCTACATATTTGAACAATTTCTTCAAGACTGACAAAACAGACCACATTTTTTTTTGAAAGTAAGTGCAATAGTTGAGCTCACATTCAAAGTGCAACTTGTAATCGCTTCACACAAAATAATATCAAGAAAGGCTTCCTCAAGTCAGTGGCTTGAAGTATAGCATTTTCTGGATCTAACTGCACTCACCACTTTGTATTTCAAAAACCCTACTAACAGGTTTTTAAAAAAATATATTCTGCTCACAGCCAAAAAGAATCAGGGACATTCCACACAATAAGTGTAAAATATTTAACAGTTGGTGAGAAAAACTTAAATTGCATATTTTCAGATGAGATATTAAATAAATCTGCTAACTCAGATAGACATGAACACTCCCATGGTACAATGTGAAGAGCAGAGAGTTCACCTGTTGTCCTGCCTCACATCTCTCCCTCAAATCAACATGGATAACAGACAATCTGGTCACCTATGTCAGTAGTTTCCAAATAGGGTCCATGACAGAGAGTCAAGCTCAAAAGGTGATACTATGAACAAGAGCAAGTGAGTGAAAACCAGCCAGAGCCTGCTCTATTACCCTCATGTTTCTCCTATACTGCTCTCTTAATGCTTCTGTACCTCCAGTACTTCCTGCAAGTTCTGCTCTTTCTAGGTTTCTCCTAAGGATGGACTCTATCATGAGAAACGGGTACGTCCTCTCACTTTAGCTGGAAGTAAATATCTGCTTTCCTAAAAGCATTATTAAAGCATTTGTTGCCCACAGGAAATGATACTATGATTATTATGCAGTACTATAATTTTAGATGAGGGCCTGAAATTACTCCATTTTTCAATAATTTAACAAGCACAAAGCTGCATCATAGTTGTTTGTTTGCAAATTGCCTGCTATGTCCCCTTTGATTTGACTTATTGTAGTCATGTGTACCTAAGTGTAGTGAAATGCTTTGTTTTGCAAGCAAAACAGGCAGATCATAGCAAACAAAGACATACAGATCGTTTACATACACTGTGGCATACAGATTATATTGCACAGGAAGTGTGCAAAGCAAGATCAACATTATTTGAAGCTAGAGTGTCCATTCTTCAGTCTAATAACAGCAGGGAAGAAGCTGTTCTTGAACCTTTCAGTACATGTGTTCAAGCTTCTGTACCTTCTGCCTGACAGAAGGGCTTGTAGGAGAGCACTGTGGTGGAAGGGGTCTTTGATGATGTTGGCAGCCTTTCCGCGGGAACAGGAAGTGTAAACGGAGTCCATGGACGGGAGTGGCTTCTGTAGTGGTCTGGGTTACGCACACAACCTTCTATTGTTTCTTACGGTCCTGGGCAGAGCAGTTGCCGTACCAGGCTGTGATGCACCTGGATAGGATACCTTACTATGGTGCATCTGTAAAAAACTTGTGAGGGCCCTTATGAACATGCTGAATTTTCTAAGCCACCTGGGGAAGAAGAGACATTGTTGTGCCTTCTGGACTGTCACATCTACAAGGGAAGTCCAGGACAGGTTGTCTGTTACCGTCAATCCTAGGAACTTGACACTATCAACTCTCTCAACCTCTGCTTCATTGACGTAGATGGAAGTGTGTCCTCTTTTCTTCTTCCTGAAGTCAATGATCAGTTCTTTCATTCTGCCGACATTGAGAGAGAGGTTATTATCATTGCGCCATGACACCAAGCCCTCTATCTCCTTTCTGTATTTTGACTCTCCCTCCAACCATGGTAGTGTTGTCAGCAAACTACATCAGAGGTTTTCAGCCTATGGTTATTAAGAAAGGTTTGGACATGATATGTCAAGTGGCCTCGGTCTATGATGTAATTTTTCAATATTTCAATGAACTACAGCTGCTGCTCAATATTAGTGAATGGATCAAGATAGACACTGCCACCCAGTGACAGCTCCAACAATTGTAATCATAGATGTATCACATTGTGCATTATTGCAGTTCTTTGGTTTATTCACTATTAGAGGCCCTGAGGGTTCCTCACTTTGAACTACACACAAAAGTAGAGAAGTGAAGCATGAACAATCCCCCTTTAGTTGGAGGTTTATATGTTTGGTTCTGGTGAGCAAAGCCAGGCAAGTTAAACTGTTGCTCAGGTTTATCCATTTATATTGGATTTCTCAATGCCATACCTGATACTTTATGACTCTACTGTAAAGTTTCCACAACAGAACATCAGGATTTAATGCCACAGTGATGTAAATCTCTTGATGATCCCTTTAGAATTGTTATTAAATGTAATGAAGTGCTTAAGACTATTTCACTCAACAGGGAACAAACCAAAAGAGAATAATGCAAAAGTCATCTCTCAGCCTACAAGGAATTGCAATTAAAGACACCAACAAACCTCCTTAAGGCAAAATACTGCCATATCTAAGCAAATTTGGAGAGGATGGATGTTCTTAATCTTTAAATTCAGTGCTACTTTCTAGGTTCACTCATGACTAACTACAACATGGGAAATACGGAGTTGCTCATCTTGAGAGTGATTCTCCATCTTGATTACGCTTTCATAGCTTTGCCCAGTTGATTTCCTTTGTGAAATAAGTTCACTTTTATGTCAGAAATCTACCTCATAACTTGGCATTGATCTGGTAAATGGAGCAGAGGGATTTCTTCCTCTGCAAAAGGAGTTCAGTTCTGCACATTTCAACAAAATATTTACTCAAATAAGAACGTTTTGCATTAAAATAACATTAATAATAAATACAGAACAAAAAGACCACTTTTTATGCAAATATTCCTGGATCACAGGGGATCTATGGAAGTTTCATAGCACAGGAGACGACTACAGAAGTAAAAATGTCACAAACGTGTTCTGCAAAAGCAAATTTCAAAAATGCTTAGCTAAAATAATGCTTTGGGATGTACTGAGGTTGTGAAACACATTTTACAAATGCAAGTTATTCTTCATATCTCTTTATTGTTATAGCAAAATAACTAAATTTACTCATTCAAATCTTAACCACCTAATGGTCCAGAAATTGCTGGAGCAGCACAACTTACAGCAAATGACAAGAAGTGGATTTTAAACCCTACCCTTCAAATCAAATTATAGTTGTAGCACACCTTGCTGGAAGTGTGAAAAGATATTAGTATAGTGAGGCTACGCAGGTTTTTTGTGAACACTGAACTTAATGGTCTATCTCCTTAACCAATGAATTTTAGAAGTAGCTAAAGTGAACAATGGAAGAAAAAAAGTGTGAATTTGACACAAACAAAAGAAAAAGAAATATAATGAAACAAAGACAATAAAGAGAAAAACAGATTGGGTGAAAAAGAGAGAGAAGAAGATGGTAAAAAAAGTATAAATTTAGAAAAAACTTCCACAACTCCCAGGAATAGTTTATATTTGCAAGACTGAGACTTCACAGTTTCAATTGTTCCCTTTATAGCACAAATCTAACAAGTTTTTATACTCATGAGGTAGTCAATCTCAAATTTCCATTTCTGAAAAGCTAATGATGGACCAGCATGAAAAGTCTAACAATTTCTGGTGATGTCTAACTCATGCCACATTTATTCCTTGCACAAACTACCATTGTTTTTATGAAATAAAACACTGATAATGGTGGGAGTGGTGAATTCAAACTTGTTTTCCAGCAATTCCAGCATCTTTGGTACCTTTTGTGATCATACTAAATTTTTAAAGAAATATCAAAACTCCAAATGTGACAATGACATACCACAGATGGTCCAAGTTGACAAGTTAATGCCCTGGATAGTTTGACATTTTTTAGTGGTTGAGAGAGAGTGGGAGTGATGGGGAACAAATGTTAGCACTGTTTGAAGGAGGAGGAGAGATATCTCCAGTCAAAAAAAGGCAGAAATTCCAGTTAGTACAGCATGCTGGCTGATAGTGTCAGAGAACAGAAATTTTATTTCATAATTACCAAAAAGTTTGAAGAGGGCAGAGTAGTAGATGTTGCTTACTTGGACTGTGTGAAACCTTTGACAAGGTCACATGGTAGACTAGGTCACATGGGATTCAGAATGAGCATAGGGTACATAATTGGCTTAACAGCAGGAGTCAGAGAATGGTGGTAAAAGGTGGTTTTTTGGATTGGAGGCCTGTCATCAGCATTGGATCTTCTTTTGCTTGTCATTTATGTAAATGATTTGGATGAGAATATAGAAGGCATGGTTAGTATGTTTGCAGACGACACCAAAATTGGTGACATAGTAGACGTGAAGAAGATTTTCTAAGATTACAAAGACATCTCAATCAAATGGGCCAATGGGCTGAAAATTGGCAGATGGAGTCCAATTTGGATAAATGCAAGGTATTGCATTTTGGTTCAACAAGCAGCAGCAGGCTTTGGACAGTGTTGTAGAACAGAAGGACCTAGGGGTTCAGGGATGTAATTCTTACTTTGAAGTTTGCGTCACAAAGACATTTAACCACCCATAGACAGGGTGGTTAAAAAAGCATTTAGCACGCTTACCTTCATTGCTCAGTCCTTTGAATATAGAAATTGGGAAGTCATGTTGAGGTTGTACAGGACATTGGTGAGGCCTCTTCTGGAATACTGTGTCCAGTTCTGGTCGCCCTGTTATAGGAAGGATATTATTAAGCTAGACAGGGTTCAGAACAGATTTGTCAGGACGTTGCCAGGTATGAAAGGTTTGAGTTATAAAGAAAGGCTGGATAGGCTGGGAAATTTTTCACTGGGGAATAGGAATTTGAGAGGTGACCTTATAGAGGTTTATAAAATTATGAGGGTATAGATAGGGTTAATGGTAGATGTCTTTTCAAGATTTCAAGACGAGCAGGCATATTTTTAAGGTGACGGGGAGAGATTTTAAAAAGACATGAGGGGCAATTTTTTTTTTTTTTAAACACAGAGGGTAGTTCGCATGTAGAATGAATGTCCTGAGGAAATGGTGAACGCGGGCACAGTTACAACAACATTTAAAAGACACTCAGGTAAGTAGATCAATAGGAAAGATTTGGAGGGGTATGGGCCAGGAGCAGGCAGATGGGCCTAGTTTAGTTTGGGAACAAAAACAAAGTTGCTGAAAAAGCCCAGCAGGTCTGGCAGCATCTGTGAAGGAAAAAACAGAGCTAACGTTTGGGTCCGGTGACCGAATGTTCTGAGGAAGGGTCACCAGGCCTGAAACGTTAACTCTGTTTTTTCCTTCACAGATGCTGCCAGACCTGCTGAGCTTTTCCAGCAACTT